AGGGAAAGTATTCACAGCAACAACCAAGCTCCTGCAAATCCAAACTGCTTCTGACTTCAAGAATGGGAGGGAATACTGCCTCTCTGTACTTTATATTATTGTAGAGTCAATATTGTGGGATTGGATAAAACAAGAATTGTGAAACCGCCATCATGTTTCATCATTTGATACACATGTCTCAAACTTTTAAATATGATATCTTAATTATCTGCTGACCAGAGCAAAAATAATATTAAACACCAACCTTACAACTGAAAGATTCCTCCTGACTTATGTTGGCTTCATGCAAATGTCGGCTAAAATTACAAAACCTGGCATTTGAGGATTCAAAATGAGAATCAAAACACACACTTTATGTCTGATGGTGGTGATAATTTGTGAACCCTTTTCCACATTCATGTTCCCTTTCTTCATCTATGTTTTCATTTCATTTCTAACTTTCATCTAGGAATCAATTTCATTCATTTTGCGTAGCGTTTCAATGATCAAATGTTGCTAAAACTAAACACAAAACTGAACGTACGTAGGAAAAGTGAATATAAAATCTGTTTTGCTGCACTTAAATTTGCATTTCTTATTTTTTAAGCATATTTGTATTGGCACAGTGTGCATGCCAGGCATAGTTTAAAGAAAAAAAAACATTCCCTGCCAATTGAGAACAACTGTTAAAAAGTATACTTTAACTACACACCTAAGATGCAGCGTCAATATTAACACCACAAATCCTAAACCTCAGAATCCAAACACAGAAAAACAAAGGGCAGGAAATAAGGAAACAATAGACGAGATAAAAGAAGAAGAGAGAAAACAGACAGAACTACAAGCTACTGTCTTTAAACACTTTAACCAACAGATTGAACGCCAAAGGCAAATTCCTGAAGTGATCGAGCGTATGAGGAGCAAAGGTCAAGGTTTGAGGTGCAAAGTTCAGAGCAGCCGTTATCAATAAAAGACCTCCTGCGAGTGAGGAGCTCCTTACACAAATAATTAACGAGCCTTTGAGTCATTTCATGATTTGTGCATCACAGAGCCTTCCAGCAGTTTTTTTTTTTTTCAGATTCAGACTAAGTTTAGAACATAAACAAGTGTGGGCTGCTGAGGAGAGAGAGCATGACAGGCTAAAATATGCACTGTTTCATCTGGAGCCAACATTCAATGTTCGTTTTAAGATGAGCAGAGATATTCCATGAAGAGAAAAAACACTGGTCTACACGTCATGGCTGTAATATGAATAATTTCAGCATTAATCTTTTCTTCTTCTCTGGTACTGTACGGTTTGGAGTCTGGCAGGGGTGATGGGTGGGAAAGTGGAGGGTGGGCATATACAAGGCAGCCAAATTCTCTTTGATTTGCTTGAGTTAAAGGCCTCATGGGTGACATTGAGGGAGAAGAAAAAAAAAGAGAAAGGAGAGGGAGAGAGAGAGAGAGCTGTCACTTTAAGCCATTAAGTCTCGCTATAAAACTCCTCCAATAAAAATGACAGCTGCAGCCCCTTTCCTCAAAAGGGGAGCAAAAGCATCACATCAGGAACACAAAACTGGACGGCCGTAAAAAGACAAACTTGGCCAAATGCTTTTGGCGGTGTAATTCCACCAGCCCACTCCCACCACACACACATGCACACACACATGCACACACACACCCCTCCCGGCAGACACATACCTTCTCCCTGTATTACCTTTGTTCCTGAGTTACTGCCAGAAAAGGAATGTCTATGTCTCTCACACACATACATGCACACAGAACAGCATGTATCTCAGTGTCTCATCCAAGACCATGAACTTCATTGATTTCTGGAGTGCGTGCTGAGGATACTTCACACACACACACACACAAAAACAAGACAGAAAGAGAGACAAAGTTTAGCTGAGCCAGATTCAGGAAAAATAACAGTGCACACCTTAATAACAGGTGGTGAAATAGATATCTGAAGTGAGCTTTCGAGACTTTTTTTTGTTTTCAATAAACTGTGATTAATCAAAAGAGGATGTTCTGTTTTATAGCCATTGGTAGAGAGGTTTATCACATTAGTACCCTTAGAAACAGATGATTCTGTGTATAAGAGTTTCACCATTTGAATGACATCCAGCATAGGGTGGGAAATAAGGTAAGGTCCAATTCGCTGATTGCCACAAAAATGTTCTATTAAGCCACCAAATGTAACACGCTCAACTCTTATCCCAATACCGTTAGCTTTTGCAAAAGAATAAGAGACTCTGAGAGCATAACCTGATGTAACATGTGTTTATAAATAAATCTGAGTTTTCAATCTTAATAAGTAGGTCAATTATAATAAATAGCATCCTGTTTTAAAGTTGTTGCAGCTCATTGATAGCTGTAATAAGTTGTCTTTACGGTCATCTGAAACTCTGGCAACCTAAAAATATACATACACAGGCCACATGTTTAAGGGGCATGGTGACCCCTGTCAAAAGTGCTCAAAAATATTTGCATCTGTCCTCATGTGTACAACGTGTTCTATCCACAGACCCTGATCTGGATGAGCTAAAATTCAATAATTCCAATGGCGCAAGACGTGTAACACCGAGCAGGTAAAAAAAAAATCATCCAGGAGAACTACTTAGGTGCAGACATTTTTTGCCACAATATAATCAACTTAATAGAAAATCAATACAGATAAGTAATATGGAACAGGTTTCCACACTGTTAGAAAACTCACATTGATTAATTCACTGACAGACTGTCATGATCGGCCTCATATTGCTCCGACAAAAGGACACACTTTCCTTTCAATGTCATCCTTTCAGTCCTCATGGCTTAATGTCAGATAAGGAGGGGGGCTGACAGCGGGATCAGACAGCAGATCAGCAGAACAGTGCCGTGGATATGGTGCCAAAGGGGGGATGTCGTCATCACAGCCAACAAGCGATCTATAATTGTGAAATGTACTGGCTGTCATTTCAAACAGTTGCATGTCAGAATTTCTAATGCAGCGCGACAGATAATTACGCCGGGTAAACGGCTAATCGATACGTTCAAGGACTTTGCAGATAGCGCCGCCCTTGAAGTGGCCAATTAACAATCAGCACTCAAGTGGACCTTTGATGGAAAGTTTAAATATAAAGGGGGATTTCAGAAGCGATAGATTATGATTATAGGCGAAGAAAAAACTGCTGATACAGCATATTGTGTGACTGGGAGGGAAAAGTGTCACTCCTCCAAAACAATTAAGCTTTACACCAACCACAACAGCTTTCACATAAGGCTTTGCTGTCCGCTTTCAAGTGTCTGCATTGGGCTACTCCGAGTACATTCAGACCGACTGAAACTTGAATCACTTTCAACGTGGACACACAATACGGAGCACCTGTAATAACAGCCTGTCAGTGTGCGTGTAACACAGTCGGTTTTGGAGTATTTCTGGGAAGCCACATAAAGGGCGTTGTGGCGACAGTGTCAGCCTGTAACAGAAGAAAGCCACCCGGTGCCTCAGAAGTCCCCGTGAATCTCCTCGGTGCATCCGGGCGGCTGATGGTACATGTCAAGGTGTAACATGACGCCCTCATGAAAGAGCTGCAGACACAATAAGAGACAACTCGGAATTGTATCTGTGCTACAGGGGACAAGGGTCCGCTCTGTTCACTTTGACAAACTCACAGTAGCATGAATGATTTACAGTGAGGTGTGTGACAGACACTATTTGAGCTGTAAACTAAAAGAAACCTGAAAACTGAGACTGGCTTTAAGACTGATGGTTTCAAAATACAAAATGTTATAGAAATATTATTTACTGCTTCTTCTGAAAAGTCAAACATGTCCTACGTAACTAGTTTCAATGCCCACTTTCTTTTTAGTCTTACTTTCTGGGAAAAAGATAAGCATGCAATTAAGATAAAAGTTTCCATTTTCCTCTTAAAAGATGTAGCCTACTGACTGCAAAATACAAAACCCTTCAGTGTGCATCATAGCCTGTGTTTTTTAAGAACATTAAATGTCCATTTTATTATCAACAGATAGTTCTTATGCCTTGAAGCCTCAGTTCAGGGCTGAGAAATGACAATATTTGTATTCAGTTCACACCTGTGTCACCTTATTGTAACTCATGTTAAGTTGACAGTCCTCTGCAGCACAGTTTGAAGAGAAAAATAATAAGTCAAGCAACTTTTACTGAGCCCAGCGCCAAGTTTAAATCACAACTTGTTTTTCAAACCACCAGCTAGACATTCAAAGTCAAACGGAAGTCAATATAGCCGTAAGTTAAACCAAGTCACGAGAAGGACGACATACGTTTACAAAAAAAACTTTTATTTCCATCAGTGAAAACAACGTGTAGGCTACAGGGCAATTCAGCTAACCTAACTCAGCAACTCGACGCTAAGAAAGTTATGAGAAAGAATAGAATAGAATAGAATTACTTAATTGATCCCAAACTGGGAAATTGTGGCGTTACAGCAGCAGGTTGTACAAATACACAATATGAGTAAAAAAAACACTCAGAAAAAAAAAAAAACACTCCCTCTGAAAGCTCTCCTTCTGATTCAAAATGCTTGTGTGTTGTGCTTTACGTTTTATATCTGTTCCTTCCTTCTTATTAAAGCGCTCAGGACAGAGTTTCTCCTTGTCTTTACACTCCTCCACATGAAGCTAAAATACATTTAAACTAAGTTTGAAGCTAACTTGTAACAAGTCCTTTTAGTCGCAACGCGCCGTAACCCGAGCGAGATGTCAATCTGTACCAAAGCCAAATGCCGCCAGCTCAATTAGCATGAGATAGGAAACATACAGAGGACACTTCAGGTTAAAGATACGACAAAAGAAAAAAAAACATAAGTCAACATTAGTTAAATAAAAGAAGGCAGAGTCCGCTACAGCTCGTCAACAGCTCTATATGATGCGTTTGGCAACTCGCTCCACACGCTGTCAGAAGAGCAAAGGGTGCAGAGAAAAACGTTTCACACACATTTCCCGGTAAAAGTCCTCTCAAAACGCTCACTTTATAAGACAGAGCAAGTCTTTGTCATGAAACAAAACAAACTTACCCAATGACAAGAATGGTTTGGTTTCCATGTCTGTGTGGTAGGTTAGCTCATGCCAGCTGAGACGACCGCGTTTAGGAGTTTTTTTTCAGAGGCGGCTGCCCGAGCAGAGCAGACCAGACCCGGCTGCTGCTGCTGCTGCTGCTGCTGCTGCTGGGGTCCTCTCTCTCTGCAAGTACACGGGACACGGCTCGAAGCGGTAAAAGTGACAGGTCGATGTCTGATAGTCTTAAAAGATAACCTAATGTTTCAACCTGATGTTTGCTCACTCAGCTGCTGCGCTCCTCTGCTCTCCCTCTCTCGTACTGGATGTGCACTGCAAAAGGGACCTGCGCAGGGGGTACTCCCACCAACGTCTGCCGAGCTGCAGCGACACCACAGATACAAACACGAGCCTTATCGTGAACTTGGAAATTAAAAACACAGAAGTAAGAACAAAATATACAGTCCACTTCATCCTATGTATTTAAAAAAAAAAAGTAGGCTGCAGGTTCCCCCTGGTTACAGGTTTCTAAGTCACTCGGAGCCCTTTCAGCTACTTTTTTTCTTTTCACTGCTTATCTCCTGTTATTTTAACCTGGTCACATCTGTTGAACCAGGGCTCTTGGCTCAGTCGAAAGATGTTTCTACTGCATTAACAATTAGCTTATCTCTCTCTCCCTGGAAGCTGCCACAACATTAATGAAATAAAATAAACAACCACAAAATAAAGTTAGGGTTTCAGAGCTTCTTATTCAGTCTGAATGTGGAAGAAGGGATTGGAGACCCCCTAAATTACTCCCAAATCTTGTATATGCCTTGAAATTCAACACCATAATGTGAAGTAGCTTTAGCTGTAGCTTTTTTTTCTGATGCAGATCTAGGTGTATAAATCTTTCTGCAGCATCAACACAGGACATTTTTTTACAGGGTCTCCCAGTAAAGGACAAACACATTGCTTTTTTCCCAATTAAATTTCATAAACAAACACCATCAACAAATCCAAGACTCCAAATGAAGTCCAGTCCTAGAAAACTGTGCATGCTTAAATTTTAACAATATAGTTCTCCACATCTGCTAATGTTTACTAATGTCATGCTGCAATCTGCAAACACTGCAAAAAAAAAAAAAAGATATATATTAAATGCAGACGCAGGAAAGTTTGGGGCAGATGAGCCCCCCCCCCCTCGGCTGGCTATACAGCACAAGGCAGCATGCTGAATTTGCATACCATTAGAGCAATACTAGATCCTGATCTATAGCTCATTGTTCCCTGCTGCTGTATCTATTCTAGCCATGACAGTTTACGCTTAATTCAAGCCACATCCGTCTTGTGCGCACCTCCTCCCCGTCAACACTCAGTCCTTCAGAGACAGAGGAGGCACATGCTTCAGGAGAGTGAAAAATGTCCAAGCTTTGGCCCGCATCTTGATGGAGAACCACGGATGCAGGCTTTACATTTTTTCCCCCACATAATGTAAAAATCCCTTATGCAGTGCATATATAGAAAAACTAGGGTATGCATATGCTTCCTGCAGCCATCCTCTAGGCCCCTGTGATGAGCCTGCTCCTATTAAGTACTCGAAGGTGTTCAGCACGTTTGTACTGAGGCGAGATACATAATTAATGCAATGCATGGCACATCAAAGATCAAAGGCAGATGTGCAAAAAAAAAAAGAGAGAGGAAAGTTAAGTCTGACTGGGCACTGATTCAAGGTGTGTTTGTGTGCAGGGAGTGTGTGTACATTTTGTGTGCAATGCTGTAGAGGGGGGGAAGGAGCCCTGTGGATGTCTGATTGTTCCACACGAGGCTCTGCTTTTGTGTGACTATCCCCTTCATCTATCTTCCAAGCAAACAATGATCCATCATCAGACGGTGTCATGTTAGCACAGTGATGTTAAGTGACTTAATTGGGCGGGTAAATGCTCATAACAGGGGCAGAGGGAGGGAAAGGCAACGATTGGACAGCCTTGTTGGAGCTTGGTTCATGTTGCTGTTTTGCCTCGGGTCTTTTACCCTGTAATAGAAGACAGACACAACACTGTCCTTTAAACACCTCCATCATGGCCCGGGTTCTCTCATCTGCCCACTAGAATGAGCTGTTTAATCCTCAACTCCGGCCATGATTAATAGCGCTCTGACCCTTCACCTCCATCCATATAAATTCTCCGGCGGCTGTTTTGGCTCTTCAACGCCCCACACTCTTGCACGCTGAGGTCTCGAGTCTATACTTAACTCTTAATTGCAATATCTCTTGGCTCAGCTCTGTCTCTTGTTTCTTTTCCACTCTTTCGCCCAGTTTAACTCCACTTAAAGCATGTGGGTTTGGGCCTCAGGGGATGGGAGACCACCGTCATGATACACTCCGCTAAAGTTGCTTTGACAACCAGCCTCCTCCTCTTTCTCCCTCTCTTAAAGTGGGTGATAAATGAGACAAGGGCCTTTTGGTCTCCTTTGTACTTTTACCATTCACAACAAGCTCATCCATAAAAGCGATTATGACCTCTTTCACTGGCAATGACAATGGTTTCCAATCCTAAGGAATTTACTATGATTTTTTTTTAATTACTAATAACAAGGAAAAATATGAAACAAATTTGTATGGTGACTGAGATGACTTTTTAGAATAGATAGTGTCTCCAACCACACGCATAGGTATTCAATTTACAATCATATGAAGCAGGAGAATACAGCTTTTTTTTTTCAAATTATGTGACTCTGTAGCTCCCAAAACAGTCTTGTGCTTGAACAGATATCTGAATTCTTTGTAGATTAGTCAGCAAATTGTTTATCTCAAAGCTGATGTGGTTTATATTCAAAGGAAATGTCTGACATCTCTCTGTTCTCATCTTTCTTTTTGATTCCAATTAAATGTTGGACATGATCGAGGTCCGAGGATAAAGGTGTGCTTCAAGGAACACAAAAAGCATGTGAGATCATCGGGGCGTTTGCTGAGGTGTTCAGCATTGTCCGCCCCGAGGGAAGGTCTTGATCGTCACATCCACGGGTTCACATTCCTTAACCTCGGGGTCAGGGCTTTTGTCTGAGGATAGCACTGAGGCAACTTCCCCTGCGGAAATCAACAAGAGCTGACACACTGAAGGGCTGGAGACGGACACAGAGGCAGGAAGAGGGACCAGCACAGACACAGAAGCACATGCAGGGTTGTAAACATTGCTACTTTGTCTTAAACCTCGAAAAAACGGCAGGAAGAACACAGTGTGTGTGTGTGTGTGTTAGAAGTGCACTGGATACCTTTTTATAAAGCCTATTTTTTTACCAACACCTTTTCAATATATTTGCAGTCAACACACCATTTGAGCTAGACTGACTTAACTGGTTTATTTAATGGTTTTAACTGAAATTCATTGCAAAAGTCGACTTTGTGTACACTTTGTGATTTGTTTGCAGGGAGAAAGCTGCAATAAATTGCCTGTTTGTCCTTGTTTTCATTATCACAGATTAACTACATTTCAATGTTGTTGCCAGCAATTTACTTGGCACGTACTGTACTGTGTGATCATCACTAATTGGAAAGGTGGCCTTATGGTCTCTATGACAATAAAATCAAAGTTATTAAAGTGGTGAAATCTTAAAATGGAGCCGACTTGAAAAGACTTAAAACAAGTATTTAAAAAAAAACAATTAGACCAGCAGCAATCATTGCAGATACGATTTTAGCATGTTGTTTACACAACTTGAGTTTGGTGGGTCTGCAAACCGATTTTTCTGCTTAAGAGAGATGAATGAAATCCGATCAAGGTTTGAAATTTGTCTGTAAAGTAGAGTAAAAAGAACAAATGTCATCAGCTGTTTTTTCCTGCAGCAGCTCCTGAAATTTTTTATTCCACAAATTTGAAATGCAAACCATTTTGAAATAGTCATCAGAATCTATTCCTGATCTATGACGTGCCTTCAGTATAAAGTTTATTTCACCTTAAATGCACAGCGCAAGTTTGCCGTGCCCTGTTTTCACAGACAGAGTTCATTTCATTGAAGGTGATAAGAGCTTAGTGGATATCTGCCCATCAAATCTAACTGATGGACGGCATGAATCCCGGCGCAGGGCCAAGATATGGCAGTTTAAAAAAAAATAAAAAAACGCACAGTATTTTCCTAAATGATCAGAGCCCATTCTGCTCAGGGCTGTTATCAATATTGAACATTACATCAGCTGTATCACTGACTCTCCACGCTGGTTTCTCAACGCTGCCACAGGCAGATGAGAATCCCTCGACGGCGGCGTTGAAAGCTCGGGCATGCATCATTCTTTAATATCATATTAAGGTGAAATTGGCTACATTTAGACAGACACGGCGATAAATCCCATCAGCACTTGGCAGAAGCTGCTTTTATCGCAGAGGGGCAGAATCACCCTCCCTGCAGAGCATCATCTTCTTACCTCCGATTGAGTCCAGGCATTATTGCACGATGATGGAGCTGCTGTGCTGCTGGAGCCGACAGATTGAGGAGGTGACTTATGGCTGTGCAAAGGGTTGAAGGTGTTGTCATACAGTCCTTTTCTTTTGGCTCACATGAGATGAGAATACAATGTAATGCTCACAGAAGATGTTTCAGTGTGGTCTGTTTTTACATTAAGTTGTTAAAAAAAGTTAAATATTCTAAAACACATAAACAGGGGTATGAAGTTCCACTGTCAGAATGTCCTTTTCCCATCAGAGAATAATCTTAACACTTATTTCCAATCAACCTGTCTCCAGTGTGTTCATTGTGTGCAAAAGCTAAGAATCTAGGTGCCTGATCAGTTTTTTTTTTAATCATGAAATTCCTGCAGCACCATTACATGTAATCTGTCGCTCCACAGACTTGAGTTTAAGTAGGTCTACAGCACGTTACATAAGATCTGTCTCATCCAAAGCCCCCATTCACACAGCTATCTAGGTCTCTGTCTGGAATGACAGTAGAACTTCTGTTTTGCTGTTTTGTGCTCAATTTTACATATTTCTGTGCAGACACTTATCACCAAGATGTGCTGGAAAAATCACTTCAGTAACTTATTACCATTTTACAGACACCATTTATTCCCTTTGCATTGTGCTGTATCGATGCAGATCCCCCACTTCCTAATCCTGCTTTGCATTGCGACATTGTTATTTAATATATCCTTATCCTCGACATCACACTCAGGGTGCAAAGTTTAAACGCTGTTATAATCTGAGCTGGGCACGCAACTATGAATCCAATAAATGTTAATCATCAGCATTCATTTTTTTTAAATTAATTTCTGAAGTGGACGTCAATTTGAAACATAATTATTGGAATATTGAACTGGTTACTTGAGCCGTTTTAACATGC